AGCAAATCAAAGCAATCCTCGACAATATAGTCCGAGCACTTAGGCATGTCGCTCAAGCTAACTAAGTAATATACTATTCGGGGTAAGTACATCGAGCTTCACAGCTCCATGCTCCTTGAGCTTCTAACTTAGGTCATTTAAGCATTTTCTGAAAATTGTTGCTCGGGTAAGAACATCGAGCTACACAGCTCCATGCTCATCGAGTTTCTAACTTGGTTATCTAAACATTTTCTAAAAAATTATTATTGCTCGAACTTGGAAGCTTCAAGCTCCTCGAGCTCCTAACTTGACCTTAAATTATCATAAGGTATGCTTGAGGACAATACAAATATAAATGATTGGATGACCAGCAAAAACATCGATATGAAAATAAACTATCTAGCATTATAGCCCTGGCTGTGCAATGTACATGAACAGAAAACAAAACATCCAAGCGTGCTCTGGCAATGTACTTTACATGAATAAAAAAATACAAATAATGATCGAGAAGGAATATGTCCTAATCTAGGTCGTTGCTTGGGGGCATGTCCATGGCATCATCCTCCCCGACGTCAGCATCGTCCTGATCATGGTTTCTTCAGAAGCTGATAGCTCAAGTGTGTCAATAACTTCGAGCACCTGCTGCAACTGGTCGGGGACGACATCAGGAAGTTGTAGGAGACCAATGCATAGTCTCTTTTGATTTCAGTAAACTCCTCTGACTTCTTAAAGTCCTTGATCGATGTAACTTGAGCCTCAGCCAACTTAGATTCAAATTCTTTCCTTTTTTGCTCGAGTTCGAGCTTTGCATCTTCAGCTTCGTCCTTCGCCACCCTAATCTTTTCCCAAGCCAACCGCAAGCTAGACTCAAGCTAGGTTATCTTAGTCAAATTTTGGCCACGCTCAACCTCGAGCTCAGCCACCTATCGGGTTTGAAGTTCCAGGGCACTTCTAAGCTCAGTCAGCTCTCAAGAGTCGGCCTCTTCCTTTATTGACATCACCCGAGCAATACTTAAAACCCGAAAGCATGACCATTGGTTAGCATCAAAAGATCGATAATTATGACTTACGTACGAGCACAATTAAGATACTTACCTTCAGTGCCAACGACTGAAGTGTCTTCACACCATCCCCGAGCTCTGACTCTCGATATTTGTCTACGATGTCGAGCAAAATGGTGCAATTTTCCCCCTCACCCCGAGGTATCTCCCGACAACATCATCATCAAGGTCAACAACAACGACAGCTGCCTTTGCCACGATCAACGGGGTATTGGATTTGGGCTCAACGATGGAAGTTCGCGTCGGTTGGGAAGATGACTTGTCGGCCCTCTCGTGACCTCGGGGACAGACTCTTGAGGTATTTTTTTTTCATTCTTTCTGCCCCGGTGCCCTTGGCTGGGGAACCTTGGACTTCTGGCTCGTCATAAGTCAAAAGGCTTGTAGATCAAAAGTCACGTCTTCTGCAAAAATAACAAGGCATTAGCTCGATGAGTGGTCAAGATTCAATGATTAATAAGGATCAAGATATTAAACCTTACCCTCAAATCCTTTCCCATTTGTAAGATCGAGGATGTCATCCCCGAGCAAGTCATCGAGATTGTGACATAAAGGCTCGAGGTCCTCCAAACTCTGCCTATCCCTTTCTAAAACCTCGAAATAAGCTTGCCCCTCGTTAAATCGAGCAGTGTCCAGAATGGACCACCGAGGACCAAAGGGATGATCGGGATCCTGTGGTTGAATGAAGAAATATTTCTGCTTCTACCCCTTGAGGGAGCTCAGCATCTAAGGGATCCTAAATCTTCCTCAGGTTTGCAAGTAAACAAAACAATTGTAGCCCGTTAATGACTTAAGCTCAAACACTAGCCTAAGGAGGTCGAACCTAGAAGTCATAGATAAAAACCTACAAGCTATGAAAAAATAAATAATCATCCTCTAGGCATTGGGGACGAGCTGTCCAGGGCACATATAGTGCTCGACCAAGAATTCTATAAAAAATGGATGAAAAGGCCATCTCCCCACCCTTCAATGCCTCCCTAAAAACCACCACTCCCATTCGCGAGCGCTAAATACACTATCCTTGGGCCCAAGGGTCCTAATATCGCACCCCGACATTATCTCAAATTCCCTCACTATAGATATAACATCGTGCTCTTTGTATCGACCTCTAAGCTGAGATATTTGAGGATCCACCTATTGTCTAAAGGAACGGTCGTGGGGATTATAGAATGGCCAGGATCCTCGAGGGTTGAACCCGAGGCCGACGAACTATCCGGAGACATATTTAAGAGGATGGAAACTTAAAGTTATCTAAAAGTCTCGAGGTCTTACCTTAAACGAACACAAAGCCCGAGGTTGTCCGAGGAGGTTTGAAAAGAAAAAAATGTGACAAATGGGGTAAGGTATCGAATATTTATAGGATTTTAAAGAAGGTCAAAGGTCTCTCAATCCTGACCCTACATCCCCCTACGTGACAACAATCCATCCACCCAATGTAATCATTGGCTAGAATATCGAATACATGTGGCACACTACCATGCATCCTAGGCATGATCATGCCCATTCAAGTGTTGTTCAACCATATCTACAGGGTTGATCATGCCCAGGCAATGGCTGCTCTGTCCTGTTTTCATGGCTGCTCATACCTAGTCTCAAGGTTGATCATGCCCAATTTAAGGCTGATCAGTCACATTGCAAAGACTGTCCATTCCTATTCCTCAGGCTGATCATGCTCACTGAAAGCTGGCCGTTCCTATAATGTTACAATGTTCATCACATCCCAGAATCTCGAGTACGAGCATCTAGCATGGATGCACAGGAGCCAGTGATGATCCCAACATAGGTCGAGCTCGAGTACCAAGGAATACCTTGCCTGTTTGGCCATGATCCTCATCATCTCCTTGATGATGTGTCTTCAGGATTGCTTCTCCTCGCCACATTAGGTCTTTTTCGAGTTTACGGCCAAAACCTCGTACCATGCAATCCTGATTTATTAGAACTCTCCTTCATGTCAAGGCTTATCCAACTCTAAGAAATATAGTCCTACTGGTAGTATGTTATTTCATCTTGAAAGGATTCTACCACCAGAATTCCATCTTTATCCAAACACATGGGTGATACAAAATCAATCAAGTTGAAACTTTCAATCATGGTAGAACTCCTAGGCATTTCAACAGTGTAATCCAACTAGGAATGCTCTACCTACCTCTATAAATACATCACTTCAATTCATTATCAAAATACGTTTTAAATAATTTTCAACATATATTTTTTACAAATTCTCTCTCTGACTCAAGTATCAGAGGGTCGACGAGGACACACATCGATACCTTTATTTTAGGTATCGAAAGATCTCGTTCGTGCTCATCCACAATCATCCAGTTCGAAAATTACACATGTGCGATTTTTGATAGCATCAACATGATTGAATTGTTGAATTATTGGGTACCACTTTGCCACACGGCAGCTGAGTGGCATGCCACGTGAATAGAGACGTAAAAGTTGTCGCACACCTTGTGCCACATGGGCTGTGGCACGTGTACTTTGACGTGATATAACAATTTCTAATATCTACCTAAAGCAAAAGATCACATAGTAGAAATTGAAAATGAGTTGTGGTCACTCTTTTTATGATTAATTGAATAGTCATGGATTTTAAAGAGAGGCACTGAGAAAAGGTAGAAGAATACACACGAGGGACAGTTTAGCAATATGGTCTCATGTCATTGTCGGAACCACACAATCAGATGGAGTCTTTATAAAAATAACTTTTAAATTCAGAGATCAGATGATTTCTTGGACAGGGTTCATTCAATTCAAATTTATTTTAATTATTTGGATATTGGAATCTAATGTTGATTTGGTGGCAGACACATCAAAACATTTCAAGACATAGTTTAGTTTAATGGGAATAATTTCCATGTGGTAGGTCTAAAATCTACATCATAAACAAAGAATAGGAAGCATCCATTCGCTCATCCTATGTATATAAATAATTATTAATCAAGTTTATCTAGATCAGATTCCTTACATATTTTTAAACAAATAATCAGAAATCTGTACTAATGTTATTATAACGAAGGACAGACTATTAAAATGGCTTTAAAAACTCTGTGGAGTCTGCACCATATCCCTCAATAATAAAGAATTGGCAACCCTTTTGGCGATGGGGTTTTTCTTTGCCAAGGTACAAGTTTTTCAACCTGTGGTGGGGTTGGTCGATTTTAATCGAACATTTTAAATTTAATATTGTCTTGGTGTGTTGTATAATTCACCTAATTACTAGACACGCCATAATGTCCTCGACTATAGATATAATACAATCTCTATCTCGAAGTCAATAATTAATTTTAAATATATATTTACGGGACTCACAACTTTTCAATCACATGTTTCATCAATTTTTATTAAACTTTACTAAAAATCTAGTTTTAATCCTCAATGAAAAAAGAATAGGGGCACAGAGAAACAATCAAGAGCTCTAAATTGTCATTTCATTAATGGAAGTAACCAAATCCTAGAAAAGTATTGAGGAGAAGCTGGCTTCAGCTTTATCTATGGATGCTGTCATGTTAAGTAAAATGTCTATTTCTCCTTGTTTCTTATGCCAATATAATGCTTAGGTTTAATCTAATCAAGCATAAGCATAAAATTGAGATTGGGACCATGTTAAGACTCTTGATATTAGATATTTAGAAAATTAATTTACAGATAACCTTATATATTAACCTAATCTGAACATGTGAAATTCTCCATAGTATAAACATGATGATCAAGAAATGTTTGATGGAAAAAGCATGGTCCAAAAATTTTCCGTCCCTATTTGAAATTTCTTCCTCCAGTTTTATCAAGAACAAGAGAACGTAAATTATTCATTTCTCATTGTGTTTTTAGAAACGAGATAGAAATCCATTAAAGTAAAAACAAGAAATAAATTGAAAAATAAAATCCAAACACTTAGAATTCACGGAATCAGTCTATAAAAATTATCATACTGACTCAGGATGGAATATTTTCCTTTTTTCAAGTCATATTCAGGCTTAAAACCTGCATAAGCCAAGGGGGAGAATTTAATATATCTTGTCTCAATTTCTTTTCAACTTCAGAACTATTTTTCCTTCTACCAAGGAAACTAGGATTTAGTAATTCCTCTCTTGTTGTAAACTTTATATGGTTGGAACCAATTGAAGAAGAAGAAAAGCTTCGCCCCGAATCTGATGCTAATGGAGTTTCGGCATCTTTCCTCTTCCGGTAATAGCTTGTCGGGCCCAAAGTCAGCTCAAGTTCACTATCGTCTTCTTCTTCGAACTTTTCAGCAGGCCTTTCCAAGTCAAGACATTGCCGTGCATTCTCGTGCACATCAGCTTGATCATTCATTTGCTTGGAAGTAGACGCAAAATCGTGTATATTTTGCTTGTTTTTGGCTATATCCTTCATTAGTATCTTCTGCATATGATACAGACGATGGAGTTCGCAAACCTGCAAAAAAAAAACAACAAATATTAGTTTCGAAGATGAGTCTATTAGTGTTACTAGAGGTTATTTCTTCAACAATTTCCATGAAAAGTTGAAGAAAAATCACTATACCTGCTCTCTAAACGTTTCCTCATGCTTTAACATGGTCATCTTCATGTATTCCTTGTCATATGGATGCAGAAACTTCTCCATTGAAACTTATGCACCAGTTTTGGCTGGTAAATAAGGCCAATAATCATATGAACACTGCTTTCTTCAAGGATCTTATGCTTCAACCGAGCTGTATATGGATGAATTTGGGAATATATTTCCTTTTCTAATTTCCCCTCTCCGTAGACGCAGAAAAAAGACAAATTTAAAGTACATAAATGAAATCAGTACTATGTATAAATCTGATGACTCCAGTATCATTATTTCTGGGCCATAATAATAATAGTACCAGGAAACTAACTTGCTGATCTTCCCTATCCAAGAAGAAATTGAAAACAGGTTAGAGGTACATGTCTATATATATGCATTTGAAAATAATTCTGGGGTCTATAGAAAATACAAAAAAAAAAAAGAGGTAAATGCTACCAATTAAGGGTTTCTCTCTTTCAATGGACAATAAATACAGGGAAAAGATCAAACATAAACTGTATTTTCTGGCAGTCTGATCTTTTGAATCACCAAAATT